ATAGCAAGAATAGTTGGCAGGAGAAGTCCTTTCCTACATGTAACTTAATTTAGAAATGAACTTGTGCATAATACCCTAGAGATTATGGAAGTTACACATGGTGGAAGAGCTTTTTTGATATCATCAATTATAATTGAGGAGGTAAGGAATCACATAGATAAGTACCCATGGAGGATCATGGCAAGAGATTATGGTGTGAAGTTGATATATAATCAAGTATATAGGACTAAAGAAAAAGCATTGGAGGAAATACAAGGGAGGTCTGAGTAATCATACATGTTGATACTGTAAATATGTCAACGATTGAAGAAAACTGATGAGAAGACGGTAGCTGAATGGGAAGTTACTGTGAACCACATATTTGAGCTTGTTTTCATCACATATGGTTGTTGTACAGAGGGTTTCTTATCTGGGACAAGACATATATTGTATATAGATGGAACACATTTAAGTTGAACATATAGGAGAACACTACTATTAGCTTTAACATATGATGTGGACAGTGAATTATTACCATGTGCATATGCTATTGTGAAAAGAGAGATGTATGAGGAGTGTGCATGGTTCTTAAACATGATCAAATAGATAATGGGTGTAATCCAATTAACTATTGTGTCAAATCGTTACAATAAAATAATAGGAGTTGTTGGAGCAATATTGGAGGTGACAGACATGCATATTATTATAGGCACGTAAAAGAAAATTTCAACACAGAAATAAATAAGTTATACAAAGGTTGAAGAAGAACTAGTGGTATTTCTAAGGAAGTTGGGCTGAAGTTGCTTGATGACATTACATATACAAGGGTTGACTCTAAGTTTGATAAGGCAATGACAGGCATGAGAAGTTTTAATCTTGATTTAGTTTAATAACTTAATAATTATGGTGATATTCATAAATAGACAATGAGTAAGTTCTCATTTTTAAAGATAGTGAACCAATCATGTTTTAAGACGATGCTATGCACCGATCGGTGGTTCTATGTGAGGTAAAATTTTGTACTCTGCTTATGAATGTGAATATGGAATAGTAAGTCTGAAAAATCTTTTTAAAAATGGCGCCTTTACAGTTTCAAATAATTTTATGCCTACCATCTAAAAAACAAACTATAAAAGTAACATTAATCAACTAAAAAAGAAAATATTCATTAAGTATTCGTGGTTATCACGCCATAGAAGAGGACATGAGAGGTCATCACTATTCTTTCGACCTAAATAGAGAAGTAGTTTTGCTTCATGCTATTGATCATAGTACTACAGCTATAGACTTGAACTTCAAGCCTTTGTCAGATTTAAATGCTCAACTTATCCTGGATGATGCATTTGCAGATATAATTGTCGAGGAGAACAATAACACAGGCTCATATAGAGAGATACATATGGAGTTTCAAGATCAACCTAACACAATCACACATATAGAAAGTAAGGAGATGTAGATTCAGTAATTCATGGCCATCAAAATACAATGATAGACTCAAAGAGCCCCTTTCATGAACATGAACGAGATGATGATATAGAAAGATTAACAGATAAGACTCCTTTTATGCTATCACTATTTACAAAAATTGAAACCCTGCTCTATATTTCAATTTCAATTTATACCTATTTATATCTATCCCGACATTGGTTTATATGCAAAGTCAAAAGATAAACATTGAAGCATCATGAAGATATATTAATTTGATACCTATGGTCATTATCCCCTATAACTTTTTTATTGATGAGGATGACACGTGTCTTTATGCAATTACTAGCAAAACACGTGTCCCTTGAATGTCAACTTATTCTACTTCATAGAACTTGTTTTGCCTTATTTCTCTTATGTAATAATCAATTCCTCTTGAGTTTATTTCTATCTTTTGTTTTGAAACTGAATGAAAAATTGCTTTTATACAATTTGAAGTTATATTTGCTCTTTTTATATCGTGCTAAATTTTTCACAAATAAGAGAAATAATAAGTGAGGATGCAATTGATCAACCCTTTATAAGAAAAGAAGATTTTTATCAAATGAAGATCGTAAAACCATAGCTAATATTTTGTTGAACTCATTTGTTGCTGGGAAGCTAATAGAAGGTATGACAAAGAAACTTGCTTTATTTTACTCCGTGCCTTTAAGAGTGATTTAGCAAATTTGGTTTCAAGTTAGAGATACAGGAGAAACTTGTCATAGGAAGACTACCAATTGCGGAAAGAAGAGAATACTAATAGACCTTGAATGATGTTGTAGAATTCTTGTTCGACATTGAATCACTCTAAGGTTGCTATCATTTGCATTGGGGATTAATAAGACGTCACTTATTAGATATCAAAAGGACGGGGTTATCCAACATAAATCCAATATAATCAAGCCATTTTTGAAAGAGGAAAACATGATTACTTGATTGTAGTTTTGCTTATCTACGCTTGAAGAAAATACCATTCAACATGATCTACCCTTCAAATCTATGCACAACATTATCCATATTGATTAAAAATGGTTCTACATGACTAAAAAGGAGGTCAATTATTACTTGACAGCTGGGGAGGAGGGGCCACATCATATATGTAAAAGCAAAAACTTCATTGTTAAGGTCATGTTCTTGGTTGCTTTGGCCAGACCTAGATTTGATGATGGATGTAATGAAGCTTTCTTTGAGAAAATTGGTATATTTCCATTTGTTAGAAAAGAGGTAGCAAAGAGAAGAAGTGTTAATAAAGATGCAGGCATTTTAGAAACAAAGCTTATTTCTTCTATAAATAAAAATGTGTAGAGAATTCCTTCTTTATAGAGTGCTTACCTGCATTCAAATCAAAATGGCCAAGAGATGTCACAGGGAAAACAGTTATCACACAACAAGACAATGCCCTATGTCATATAGATGAAAATGACAAAGAGTTTTGTTAGGTTGCATGTGAAGGTGGGTTTGACATTTGTTCAATGTGTCAACCCCTTAATTCTCCTAATTTAAATATGCTAGATCTTGGGGTTTTTCAATGCAATTCAATCATTATAGCACAAAGAGCCGAAGACCATAGATAACCTTATTACAACTGCGAAACGAGCTTATGATAGCTTCTTATCATGTAAATCAAACAAAATTTTCCTTTTACTACAAGCACGGATGATAGAAATAATGAAGCATAAAGGTTCAAATAAGTTTAAAGACCTTTATTGTAACAAAGACATGCTGAAAGACAGGGTAGAATCTCAAGTCAATTTAAGTGTAACCTATCAATATTGCAAGAGGTCTTGGAGCAATTACGAGAAGTTGAATGATCATAAGGGGAAGAATTTCTTTTTCCCATTACTGTTTTGTTTGTATCTTAGTTTCTTTTTTTTTTTTAATTAATGTTATCCAAACTACTTGTGGTTGTAGTGTTTGTTATTTGAATATGCTAGCAAACTTATACTCATATTGGACATTTATGAAGTCAGTTTTCATGGGAAAAAAATTAAAAAATAACATCAGTAATAGTAAAACCAATCTTTCATTCACTTCTTCATTTTCATATTGCATCAAAACACATTTTTCATGAATATAAAAAGTGCACAAGACTTACTAGCCAAATGAAAGTACCAAATAGACATCAAAAAACCCCATATGAACAAAGACAAAAATCAACATCAATAGAGCCAATAACCCATATCTTTCTCCATCTCGAACGGATACATTCAAAAGTAACTAGGGAAGATAATTTTCAGCGTTGATCTTATAAATCGCTTATGCTCTGTCTCTTTCTCATTATCCTCTTCATATTCATCATTTGGGAATCTATTAAGATCAAATTTGTTACAGTCCTTTGTTGTCGAATATGTGCTTTCTCAAGCTTTAGCCTTGCCTATCATTGGTGAGTTTACCTCATCCTCCTCAGGTGGCTGGTTAAGGTCTAATGCAAGATGCTGCTCTTTGCGTTTGAGAGAATCCTCCACAATCAATGCAAACATTTCATCCTCTTTGTTCAAATTCTTACCTTTATTCATGCCATGTTTGTGGCATAATTGATGGTTATGGTTTGGAGATAGAGATAGCTCATCACATTCCACTGAATCCTCCACAACCAAGTTAGATACTCCACCTCCATTAAAAAATTCATAATCTTTGTCCATATGATGATGTCAAAGGAATTAGATGCCTAAATTTTTTTTTAAGAGTCAGAACTAATGGCATCGAAAGAAAAGAAGCAGAAGAAGTGAATAAAAAGAGAGCCAAAGGCAGTGGAAAAGGTGAATAAAGAGAGAGAAAAAGCTAGTGAAAAAGGTGGCAATAATGGCATGGGAAGATGATAAAATTGAAGGATATTTGGTATTGGAGAGAGGAATGAAGAAAAAGTACGTGCAAAGGAATAAGTGCTAGAAATTTAATAAAGGCAATTTTGTACATCTATATCAAAAATTACATCATGTGCCCTATATATAGGACCAAAATTTACACACAATCTCTGCCCTATAAATAGGACTAGAGGAGTCTTTAACAACATGTATAACTAAAAGACATACAAGCAAGAAGTACAGGCATCTACCCACGGTGTAACTGTCATCCTTCCCCTTCCTAAACAAATTTACATAATCTTTTATTTCCTTGTAAAGGTCATTCATGATGTATGTCACCCAATCATACTGTTCAAATCTATTTATAGTTGAACATACCACCTTCAATAACTTGTCGCAAACTTTTGCACTTGAAGTGAGGGCCAGAAAAGTCCCAAGTGTGTACAATATAAATAATAATTCAAATTACTCATTATTCTTCTTACATTTTATGTCAACTAATATCTTCCTATATACAATTTACCATACGTTCTCCTCAACTTTTTATATGTCTCATCATTTTCATTAACATCTCCGCTAACCTCTTCCCCAGTATGGGGTATACCAAGTAATTTTTTTATATCGTTTGCTTTAATTTCTTTTGTCTTCCCCCTAACTCTAAATTGACGTCTTTCTGGATCGTATGATCAAATGAAAAGCACAATTAAATCACGTGGGAGTCTCTTGTAAAACCTCAAACAGATAATCACATAATTAACAAAAGTATTTTATAAATAGCCCATAAGTGTTTTTGGAGTCCAAACCAACTGGAAAGAGTATGGGTATCTCCAAACAACAAAGCATTTCATAGTTTCAAAATAAATCCTTAATGTATCTTAGCAAAATAAAATGAAAGTCTTAGGATCATGATAATTCAAAATAACATATCTATGCTCAAAGAGCACAAAAGAGCCTTCACGACTCATTTATTTGGTGCCTTCCCTTACTTTCTACTAGATCCATCACCTGGAATGTTAATAGAAGGGATGAGATCTAACGTCTAAATAACAACTGAAATTCCTAACATATACATACAAACACATGTATATTATCAAAACTAAATATAAACAAATTTGTATTTCTATACCTCAAATGTTTAAATTATGCCAACACTCTATCATTAAACCAATAAATATCTAGTAGATAGTCATTTACAATAGCCATTTCACAACAATATATGCATTATGCAACCTCTCTTATATCACCATTCATCCTTATTCCACTAACTAGAACCATAGGCTAATATATAGTCTAATCAGAATTAATCCATTTAACTAGATTGTCCCAAGCTTACCAGTACTTGAGATATACCCAGCCAAAGGTATAGAGCTTAAGTCTAGACTATGGCTCCCCTCCTTAAAAGAACAAAGCTAAGAAGGTGTCACATGTCTCACAACTCTAATACAATCCCAACCAAAGGAAAACATGGACGAATGGCCCTTGACAAGTGTCATATACTGTGCACCGAGTGATGGTGTATTACATAGTAATTAAACAACATGCAAATCTCCTTCTGACCTCGGCCCATCGTAGAATGCATATGCCATAACAGATAAAGGTAAAACAGAATATTTCAACCAATATACTATTGTTCCACAACAGAAAAAGAACCAAAATCTGATACAAATCATCAACATCACAATTCTTTATATTTCATTTATCATAGCTATCAAAATATTTAATTATTACAGATATTATTTAATAACATTTCACACTAAAAACAATTAATTACAAACTCAGTATCTATCATGTAAAGGTGTATCTAAGTATAAATAAACTCTTTATTTGGGAAACTTAATATCTATCCTATATAACCATACACACACACACATGCACACACATTTTTCATGCTAAAATAATTAATTTTCTCGATATTCCATAACAATAATTTCCATAAACGATTAATATGTATATCGAAGAAATTTCAGAGTTACCTGCTACTCCTTAACTTATAGGTAATCACACAATGATACTCTAAAGCTCTCAATGAGAGTATAAAATCATAATTGCAAGTATCTATTAATATCCAACTCAAAACTATCCTAGAGTTACTCTAAAACCATCTTAAAGCTACTTAAGATCTTAAAACTACGCTCTAAAACCCAGCTATTATATTTATATATTATTAATTTAATGCTGGCTCAGAATAAAATTGTAATATTCTTTTATAGCATCAAGATTTAAATTATAAAGTCACAATACATCTTAGTATTTATATCTTGTTGATAATAAAAGGCATTTATCAAGGTAGTAGAAAAATACTTTTGAAACAAGAGTCATCGGAAAGTACATGTAGGCTTTATAGCTATTGTAATGTATATCTTATATATATAGGACAAAAAGACATTACTGCATTTTCATCCCTTTTCTTTCTCATGAGCTCTGGTTGCATCGGATAAAGCAAACCAAAAATAAATAAAATAAAGTACAAATTGAGATAGAAGGGACATAAATTTGCAACGGTAGGATCAATAGCTTTTTATGAAGAGAAATGATTGGGGGATCATTATTATTTGTAATATATATAAATACACACACACACCCATATACTCAATCATGACCAGAGGAAGAAACTTGAGTTGAGCAAAGATAAATTAAACAAAAACACCCGCAGATGGGAAAGCAAAATGAGGTGAATAAGGATTTTTAAAAAAACCAAATAATATATTTATATATGCACCCTAGAAAGGACAACGTATGAGTGTGGTAGTGAATTGATGGAAATAGGCTAGTTGTTGAAGAAGATAAAATTATATATATGGGTTATCAAGAGTAACTTACAATCATAAAGATGATGAAAAAATCACAAGTGAATAAAATATACAAACACACAGGAAAAGAGGGACAAAGTGGGGTCAGGAAAACAGGAACTATAAATCTAGTCCTAATGGCAAATTTTACGAGGAAAAAGAAGAAATGACAAGACATGCACAAGAAGCCATATAAGAAGGATAGATGAACAGTAAAAGTTTGATATGATTGAGGAAAAGAACGTGACTGAGCAAGAAAAAGGAGAGGAAATGAGAGAGACACCTGCAAGAGAGTGTGGAAACAAAGTGGCGACCAGGAGCAAGGATTGGGTAGGGAAAAAGAGAATTTATAGGTGAGAGATTTACAATTAGGGTTTTGCCCCACTTGTCATTATAACAATAATATAATAATCTCTCTCTTTACTCCAAATAAAATATTATTAACAGTGATAATTTTTAATTTAATTTCTTTTACACACATATATCTAAAAAAAATACATTTATCTTGTAAAAGCATTTCTTCTTCACACATTTTTTTAATAATAACAATTATTATTATTACTATCTTTTTTTTATATGTTTTTTTAAATCATTTTACTCTTTAGTTATATATCCTAAACCATAATTTACACTTAATCTCAAAAATAAATAAATTGAGGATGCTACATCTCTTACAATCTACATTCAACAACTTAGATAATCGTATAATCTCTATCCTTTCTCTTAAATTTTTATCATTTTTAACAAATTCCACTAATAACATGAATTGATGAACCAAGAAATGGGTCAACATGGACCCTTTTCTCTTACTTTTCTTCTTCTTGGGCCTCAATTCCTTAGTCCTTTCACTTTATGTTTTTCTCTCCTCAATAGATAACCTTGCCCATACCTCCTTTGCCTTATTAGTTCTATCTATTACACCCTTGAACTTTCTCCATTTGCAAATTCCTCTCTAAATAAGACATATCCATTATTTGGCCCTCTTGAATTTGATATCTTGCCCTCCAACACCATTTTTCTTTCACAATACACATTAATAAAAATGACATCACAAAACAATTAATCTCCAAGCAAAAATTTATTCCAAAATAGAATACATGAAACTTGGCCAAAAGAAACTTAGATATGAAGTCCTAAAGTTTATTGACAATTCACTTTAAAAGATCAACACATGAAAGAAAATTAGGAGGCTATCTACTTGAAGAAAGAGATATGAATAGTTCTCTAGTTTAATTAATTTGTATGGCTTGAGTTTAATATATAAAGTAAATTACAATATCAGTGCATCAAAATAAAAATGTTCACTATCTCACATTTAATGATACTATCCATATTCACAGCTACAACAAACTTACATTTTTCATTTTCAAAATTTAATCATGATAAATTTCCAACAATAGACCATGCTCAACTTAGAAGCCTTTATTTGAGCACATTCTCCTACAATTGATTTGAGCAGATTCTTTCGAATACGAAGCAAAACCAATCCTTCAGTGAACAGCTAGTATATAATCAACACAAATTTTTTTCCTTCGATCGATTCTCAAGATCAACAGCTAGCATACTATCTAAGCCTCCAATACCCATCAACAAACAAAGAAAATGAATCTCAAACAAACTTACCTTTGTCTCAACAATATAACCCTTATCTCCTTTTTCCTTTCTCTTCTTTGATGGCTACAATTGCAGCACAAATGGTAGATTCCTTCTTTTTCTTTCTCTTCTTCGATGGCGACCACTGCAACACAAATGACGATGGCGACAACTTGCAGTAAGGATATTGTGTTCAACTTGCTCTCTTCTCTTCTTTTTTCTGTTCTTTGACACCTTCAACCTAGAACCAAGAAGCCCTCCTCTTTCTTCTCCTTTTGTTTAAAAAATTACTCAGGGCAGTTTGGTCATTTTAGTTAATTTTGAAATCCTTATTTGGTCTGCAATGATGAAAATGAGATTTGTCTTATTTAAGTGTCGATTTTGAAATTTTCATGTTAAAGTGTCATTTTTATGTCATTTTTTCAAATGAAAACTTCATGAATAAATTCACAACCTAGTCCTAAAATTTTTCTTTTGTTTTTAATTAGCGAAAGTCTCTGTCCTTATTTTCCGAAAGCCAAAGTCTTGTTTTCTTTTTCCTTTTCGTTTTTTTTCTCTTTTCCCTCTTTTGAATTTTGATTTTTTTTTTCCCCTCGAAAGTTTTTCTAATGACAAACCGAAGCTTCCGCAGTTGAACACTTCGGAAATGACAGCTTGGTGGATTTAAACATGACTTCATTTCGTTAAATCAACAAACGCTAGAATCTGCTTGATGTGACCGACTGCGACCCACCGAATTTTGATTCTCCTTCGCAGTTTCAGATAATTCTTTACAAAAAATCTTGGCCTCAGGTAATGAAGCTTCGCTCTCTCAACCTCATGTTTTTGCTTTTCCTTCTTGGTCCTTTTTGGCTTGACCTCTTACTGCTGCATTTGTGAACTTTCGGGTTCAGTTTTTACTTATTCTCGAGTTCGTATTTTGGACCCGATTATGAGCTTACGGAGTTCTATTCTTTTTCTCTGTTGATTGATTTTCGTTAGTCCACACTATGGCTTGGGGGAATTCAAGATTTCCCTCTTGTTTTCGAAACATTAGGAGTCTCTTTCAGGTTAGTGGGCTATGAATACTGCTGTTGGGAATTTTTCTTGATTGTTGATTGTTCTAGTTACTTTTTACTACCTTTAAGGGACTTGGCATTTCTGTTGTACAATATTCAAATTCTTGCGGCAGGCGACTGCTGTAAAAATTGAAAGACTCTTTTTGATTATTGTTGGGTTGTGGTCCTCAACTCTTGATAACTTGAATTACAGGTACAAGGGTAATGAATGATTGTTAAATCTATACTTTGAGAGTTCAAAACAATTTTTCCGTGTGCAAATTTGGGAGTAAAAATTCAATCGACTAGTAGTACTGCTGAAAGCGGATGAATAATTTCCAATATGCTTTTGATCATCTCAGAAATGAATATCTTGGATTTGAATGTTGATCTTATGCATCTTGCTGGGACACTGGTTTCAGACTGTGATATGAGCTTTTCGTGCTGTGCATATGGTTTTAAGACAGTCAAAGCTCTAATTTTTGCCTCATGATTCTTAGGCTAAGTAATGTGTGCCAATGTTGTTTATGTTTTACTGCTAGTCACTTCAATTCAGAGTGAAGTAGGGACTTCGATTTATTCCTGTACTTTTATCATCTGATTAGATTTTCAAATGAAGTACTCTTCTTTCAGCTTGATGAAATTGGTAATAGAATGAAGGACCAAGTATAATTTCAGCAAGATTTAAAGAAACATATTTGCCATTGCCCTTCTTTTAGGATAGTGTTTCCCGTTTGGTCTCTATTGGGTGTTCAACTCAAGATTGATACCATGCAACAAATTCTCGAGTTGGACTTGCAAAGTGGTTAAAAACCTTCCTTATGATCACTCAACACACCCTCCCCCCAATTGTTTTAAAATTTCCATTGTTGACAATATCTGCTATTTGGCCGTCTAAGTTCATTAAAGTAGACAAATAAATGGTTAATCGGATTTCTGCTTTAATTTTTGTGCTATGATTTTTGCATAAGTTAAGCTTATACAGCGGTGATCTGCTGGTCCAGTTATAGCATCTTGTTGTTTGGTTGAACTAAAGCAATTGTTTACTGGATATTGAATGTACGTTTGTATTCTTAGATGTGGTTGGTAATTGTTTTAGCTTCTCCACCTCTTTCATGAGATCATGATTCGCTTTTTGGCCCTTTTTTCTTTAGAATCTTTCCCATTATGCTCCTCATATAGTTCTTGCTGACTTACATGTAGAACTATAAAGTGTTGGCTTTCATGCTTGGGTTTTGAAATTCAGGAACCAGGAATGTTTAGGATGGCTGTATTCGATGCAGGAATAGATGAGATGGTCCCCACAGGGCATCTAATTTGGATTAATTACAGCTTTGCTTAATTTTCCTTGGTTCATTTCATTTGTCTTTAAGATCAGATAAAGACTAAGACATTTGGGAAGAAAAGCAAATTGGAGCCTATTTATTATATTTTGTCGCTGAATTGCTTTCGTCAGGGTTATCTAGGATTTATCAAGCAGGAGGCTGGGAATCTCTTCTGTGAGGGGTGATCACTTTTCATCCACTAATATTTCATTGATAGGCAAAGAGACTGGAGAGGTATATAAATCAACTAAGATTTTCCTTTGAATAAAAAAGAAGTGCGTTCTTGTTTTGTAGCCATTAGTAAAAGTTTATATATCATGACAGCTAGATGCATCTAACATAGCTTGTATTTATCCTGTTATTCTTCAGTGTCTTCAAGTTTTGGTTAAAAGTAGCATTATACCAATGCAAACCATTACCGGAGGTGATAAATTAATAAATCCAGCATACTATAATGAGTTAGGAGAAAGGCACTAGAAGTTTTCCTTCCATTAGTTGCTTTTGTTACCACATACTATTGATGAATCGGTCCTGGGTCATCACCGCTTCTCTCAAAAAGAAATTAAAATGGCCTATATGTTCAAGATCTGCATATGATAATTATTAAAAAAAAAAAAAAAAAAGGAAATTTGTGTATAATTGGCTAATGCATCTCGTACTGAAGCTTTTTACGTGGTTATGAACAGCATACACACCTTCTTTCTACTTGTTTGACACTTCCCTGATCAAATTTATCATTTATTAGTTTTATGTCCACAATATCAGTATATGTGGGATTTACTAGCCTCTAATATGGGCTAGTTGCTTTGAGCTGGTTAAAAGGGCTGGAAATGCCTGGATCATTGGTGTATGAGTAGCTATTCTGTCAGGAACCGAGATGTTGCTAATTTTTACAAAAATATAGTGCTAGAAAATTTTGAGCTGCCTATTGCTTTTAGAGTAAAATACATTCTATTGAAAGATGCTCAAATTTTACAATTCCTTACTCTGTTTTGAAAAATTACCCTCCTCTCCCTTGAGATTGAAAGATGTGCTAGTCTGGCTTCCTTGCATTGAAAGATAAGTTACATTATATCTATTTTAGCCAAAATATAGTTTTCTTATATAACATAACAAGTGTCAAATATGAATTTAACCAATATATAATACTTACCTTTTAAAATATATAATAAAATTGAAAATTTTCAATGCACAGGAAATAACATTAAAATAAAAGTTTAAAAAATATGCATTTTAATAAAATATTTTTATGGAAGAAATCAATAGTTTCCCTGTGTGTATTTGATCATTTACTAGTTTTAAGAAAGGTTTGTGCTTATTTTAATGATAAAGAGGACGGAAGTGTAATTTAAGCATCTCTTTGGGAGGGGAGAGTAAATTACCTATATTTTCACAACAGAAAGCATTCTCTGACTCTATTGTGCTGCTTTCTTGAATGTTACTTTCCTGATGGACTTTTATGTTTATTAAGAAGATTCTGATATGTCATCTTTACTACTTTCTGACATCATACAAAGATAAACAACACAGTTAAACAATAAAGATCTTTATAGGGGTTCTCCCTTTCAATTTGGTTGGAAATTAATTTGACATATGGATATCATGAGCATTTATTGATGATTACAATAAACATTGAACACTCTTTTATAATCATTCTCGATTTTGTTGTGTTTTGTTGTGTTCTGTAGGAATTCAGGATGAGGGAAATTCAACTTGGTTCACATACTGTGATGTCTCATGGGTATACGGTTGCAAGAACACACAGGCATGATTGGCTTATACTCCTGCTCCTTGTGATACTTGAGATCATTCTATATATTATCCATCCTTTCTATCGATTTGTTGGGAAGGATATGATGACTGATCTCAAATATCCCTTGAAGAGTAATACTGTTCCTGTTTGGGCTGTTCCTGTAAGTTTACTGCTTTGGATTGTACTTGTGAAAACATGATTCTTTCTGTTTTTTGGCCCCCAAGTATTATACTAAGAAAGCTCTGTGTTTTCTTTTATGGGTAGATGTATGCAGTTTTATTGCCTATGTTGATTTTTCTTTTTGTCTATATTCGAAGGAGAGATGTCTATGATCTTCACCATGCCATGTTAGGTAATAATTTGTGCAAAATCCTCATTTATTCATGTCGCAGAGCATATAATGGAAATGGCTGAAAGGAAACAGTTACAGTGGGTGTCGCTATGTTGTTTTGTGATGCAGGCCTCTTGTTCTCTGTTTTAGTAACAGCAGTAATCACTGATGCAATAAAAGATGCTGTAGGTCGGCCCCGACCAGACTTCTTCTGGCGTTGTTTTCCAGATGGAAAGGATGTAGGCTTTTCCTTAATTGTTGTTTGTGCGAGAGATCATTGTTGCAGAATTGATTTTAGATAATGATATAACCAATTTGTTGACTGGTGATAGCTGTAATATCTAAGGATTAATTGATTCTTTTTAGGTTTATGACAAATTGGGAAACGTCATATGTCATGGTGACAAGAATGTCATAAAGGAAGGACACAAGAGTTTCCCAAGTGGCCATACGTCATGTATGTGGTTGACTTTTTTATATTTTTTCTCTTCTGTGTCGAACAGAATTACTGGTTTTGCGAAGCTGATAACTTTTTTATGTTATTTCTCTTCTGTATAGAAACAAAATTACTGGTTTTGCCAGGATATATATCCCTTGTAGTGCCTTGTGGAGTGCTTAAGTCTAGTTGTAAATGCGACACTTCTATCACATCTATATATTTCGTTTTAGATATAATACGTTTATCTTTTTCCTAATAGGTCGCACTTGAGCACTGCACAAATTTTTTTTTTTTTTTAAAAAAAAAGGCACTGCAGGGGATTCAAATCCATTTTGCTATGCTGATAATTTCCTTGAATTTAGTATTATGGAAATGCTGAAATTTCGGATTGACTCGTAAATGCGTTGCTTAATTTCTAAAATTTTGCTTCATCAGTTGCTTGCCTCATTATATGCAGGGTCCTTTGCTGGTCTGGGTTTCTTATCTCTTTACTTATCTGGTAAAATAAAAGCATTTGACCGCACAGGCCATGTTGCCAAGCTTTGCATTGTTTTTCTCCCTTTGCTTATGGCATCACTTGTTGGCATTTCTCGGGTTGATGACTACTGGCACCATTGGCAGGATGTGTTTGCTGGAGGTCTTATAGGTTTGTATTAGATTTAGTAATGATAATGGGCGTCATATGTTTGTCATTTGGGCATTACATGGCTTACTATGTTTTGAATTCTCTTTTCAGGGCTTATAGTAGCTACGTTTTGCTATTTGCAATTTTTTCCTCCTCCTTATCACCATGAAGGTATGCTTCAGTGCAAATTATATAATTGGGTTATGTTCGTATGCCTATGTTGATTGTCAGATTGTATCCATTGGTAGTTCTCTCTGGAAAAGCACTAGACAGAAATTAAATTCTTGTTTGAGGTGTAGATACTGTTTTATAAATTATAAGCAACCAGGTAGCTTGATTTGGGAGTGAGAGACTTCTGGCAAAGGCAATTTTGAATTTCTTGCTATTATTATGTTATCTGAGGGACAAATGACTGCTTTAAATGCTCTATCTTCGAAATTTTTGAGTTCAAATTTACTGCTCAGGAAAGAAGAGAGCCCCCAAAAAAAGACAAAAAAAGAAGTCACTTCAGGTTATGGCTTGAGTGTATTCAATGTGGGAAGTGGGAACCTGTTTCTCCTTCCTATGGAACACAAGAAATTCAACTTTTTTACTTATATTCCTGTTTTAGCTGTTATGAGTTTGGCCAAGATATGAAAGAGAATCTTTTCTCTGTTATGAAAGAGAACTGAGAAATTGGAGCTTCTCAATTGAAATAGATTAATTTTCCACTGGACAAAACAGCCGTGCTCAAATCCAAAAGTTACACATATTATCCAATTATTTTTCGAAAGACTAGCCAAACGAGAATGACATTGATATGGAACTTGTCAAATGATTTGGCCCATCACAATCTACTTTGTGTGGTTAGCAAATCAGTATGGTGACTCGAATCTGAAACTGGTTGATCCTCTGGATATGATTTCTGCAGGCTGGGGACCTTATGCTTACTTTAGGATGTTGGAGGAAACACGTGCTACTACTCACCCTCCTAATGGTCAAAATCAAAATTCTGGCCATGCACAGCCTACAGAAGTTCACGAGGAGAACCAGGAGGGTCAAAGCTGCCTTGGATGTGTGGGTTTTTCTGTTGAAAGGGATAATCATAATGCAACATTGGATGAAATGGAATGTGGGAATGTGAGAAAATAGTTGTTGGGCATCATTTCTGACTTGATCTGCTTCTCAATGTTCTTTGTAGTTCACATGGGATTTTCTTCCCAAATTTGTTGCCTTTTTGTGATCAACATCTTGTAGAGAACGAATGAGTTGTGGCAGTAGGTGCAGTAAAACATCTTGATTACCTCTTTTTTGTTTTCCATCTGTGTTAAAATTAGTCAAGGGAGCTGAGACTTGCGATTAAAAATTAATTTTTTGGTGAGAAATTATACAATTAAACTTGACTTTTTCCAAGTTATGAAAATGTTTTGCAGTTGTTATTTTTGAATGAAAATATTTCTATAATATGTAGCAGACTGTATCTTAAGTTTTGTAAATATGGAAGATATCATAAGAAAGCACGAAAGGTAATTGATTGTCAAAAAGTTTTCGAGACAAAAGTTAATTTTTAGAGCTATTGACATAGTAAGTTTCAAGGTCATTACTTGTCATTTTGCTTTGATAATATTATCGGCTCTCAAATGCGGATCATGTTGAGAGAATATTAAACTTGAACATGCTCATCTGATAATAGCTTTGTTTGGATTAGTGATAGAAAAAATAGTTTATTATCAATTTGATTTTTAAAAAAATTAGATTGGGTAAAAGTTAAATTGGGTGAGGTGAATTATGTTTGGATTGGATTATATAAAAATTAGTTTATAAAAGTTAGATTGGATAAAAAATTGTTTGGTTTATGATTGAATAAAAGTAAGTTTAGTTTGTAAAATTATCAAAAATGGATATGAGTTTTATTAGATAATTAAAAATGATAAAAAAATAAATTTACATAATACAATGAATTTAAATTAGTAAGTTTGGTTGGTAAAATTACCAAAATGAGTATGCTTTTTATTAAATACTCCTCCGGTCCTTAATATAAGACATGTTTAACTAATTTGATTAAATTAAGAAAGTTAGGTAAGTTAGTTTATTATAAGAAATATGATACTCCTCCGGTCCTAATTATAAGACTCAATTGACTTATTTGAGGAGATTAAGGAAGTAAGTTAAGTTGGTTATTTATAATAAATAAGTGTTGTCATTCCTAAAATATCCTTGCTAATTAAGTATATTGGCTAAAACTATCATTATTAGAAGGATTATCTTGGAAAAAATGCATAAATATAAGAGACAAAATGGATTGGGGTCTTATAATTAGGACCAAATAAAAAGTCAAATGGGTCTTATAATAAGGACCGGAGGAGTATGTTTTTTTCTAAAATACTATAATTATTTTTTTAATATTCTCCCTTCATATCAACAGCTCTTATATTTAGAAAAATGTTGATCTTGGTTCTAAATATAAGACATATTTATTACATTTATTAATTTTTTCTAAATTACTCTTATGGATATTTATTTAGGAATAAGATCAACTTAACAATTAGGTCATATATTAAGGACTAAAGGAGTAATAAAAATGATAAAAAATGAATTTACATAATATAACGAACTCAAATTAGTTTAAGTGGAAGAAGTGAAATTTAATGAATGAAATATATTTTACAAAATTAGAAATATGATAAAAAGGTTTTTGTAAATATAAAGGGACAAGAGTGAACGAGTGTGGCCAAGAGAAATAAACAAGCTTTGGAACGAGAGAGTAACGGTACAAGAGTGAGAGAAAAGTAACACAGACTCTAATTATTACCACCTCCGTTCTTAATACAAGATCTCATTTGACTTTTATGTTAGTCCTAAATATAAAATCTCAATCTATTTTGTCTCTCACATTTATTCAATTTTTTCAAGATAGTCCTTCTAATAATTATAGTTTTAGTCAATGTACTTGATTAGTAAGGATATTTTAAAAAAGACAATATCTATTTATTACAAATAACTAATTTAACCTCTTTCTTTAATTTTCTCAAATTAATCAATTGACTCTTATAAGTAAGATTGGAAGTAGTATTTTCGGGTTACTTCGTCAACTATAAGCACGGTGTATAAGCTCAAAAAGTGGCTCAGATTAACTTATTCAAACGGTGCGTTGAATCCTACTTCTAATTCACAAGTAGGATGGGCCCAAAACTCAGCTAAATAGACTTAAAATTTTAAACGTGATTCTAAACTGAAATAAGGAGTTTTTGGACCTGTGACCACTGTGCCAAACAGACGACATAATTGCTCATTTGAAAGTGACTTCAGTCAATTCCATCACGACAGAAAAATATCATTATTAACGCTAAGTGCGTGAGTTATGGGAAAAAAAATTACATTATCATTTTTCTAAAATGATTTTGACATGTTTGTGACATGGTCATTAGGATTTTATTTTACCAGACATAAGTATTTTTTTTATAAGAAAAAATCATATTCGAGACGTGTATAATGACAAGATTGTTATTAGGATTTGACTTCTCTGCTCCCCTGGTCGGGTCGGCTCGGCTACGTGAGTAAAAACAAGAAGAAGTTGCTTTATTTCTAAAGTGGATTGAGCCCCATAAATCATTTAATCAAAATGCTGTGTCACATATATGTGTCTGTACATATGCATGTGTGTTAGAGTTTTTTTTTTTTTTTTTTCCTTCTCTTTTTAACCATTGAAGCAGCTTTTTGATCCGCGAAAGTCATTCACAATACTCTCACACACAAAGTGATACCAAACACATCCTATTTTAACTCGGAACAAAATCTTTTGGATTGTGGATCCACCAAGGGAGTTTTATAAGCAAAAAGAATAATCATATCTTAAATTCCACCGAGATTGATATTTTGACACTTAACTAGTCTTCTCTATATATACTTTCTCTATTCCTGTTTATAAATCATATTTAGCTACTTCATACAAATTAAGAAAATTAATTAAAATTGATTGATTGTTTTGTTATTATCCTATATTTTCACAAATACTTTAATTAAATACATTTTTTTAATAATTTATGTCATTCTTTCTTTTTTGTCATAATTATCAACAATACTCATATAAAAAGCCTTATTATGAAAGAAAGTATTAGTGTTTTCATAAATATTATAAAATGACTTACTAAAATAAATGGACTATTAAGATAAATGGATATGATTAAAATTAATTAGATGCAATAAATATGTTATAAATGCAAATTTTTTTCAAATATGCTTATTTATAAAGTTTATTAGTGGCTTTTAATTCATCATAAATATTATTCTCCTTTGTTAATGAGGGAAATTGTTTTTTAATAAATATTCCCAGACAAATTGTTTCTTATAAGCATGATCAAAGAAAATCATTCCAAAATTCTCTAATAAAAAAAAAGGAGGTTGTACTATTTTATACCCGACTAAGGGTGTGTTTGAAATAGCAATAGTAAAACTGACTCTTACTTCATCTGATTTTAGCAAGCATGAGTTGGAATAAAAATCAGTTATTATAATGTGATTTATATTTGAATTGACATTTATAGAAAGTCAGTTTGAAAAGTTAAAACCTGTTTAAATGATTAATAAAAAAATAATTTTAAATGTAAAATGATTAAAAATGACATGATCTTTATTAAATAGTAATGTTTTATATTATATGTTTTTAATGTGATAATGATTAAAAATAAATAAGATTATAATTATAAAATAAAAATATTATATGCATATCATGTAATAATTCTAAAAAATATTAAAATTAAAATTACACAAATAAAATAATAAATATTTTATTGGAAAAAATTGTAAATACTAAAAAATTTATTTTAATAAAAATTATATAAAATAAGTAACATAAGGAAATAAAATAATATAACAACAAATAAAATGAATATGCGTGTGTATATATATAATGTTACCCCAAATCTGCATCATGAGACACAGGCAAATAAGGACAATAAAGAAACATGAGTAGTATAGACAAAAATGAAAGAACATATTAAAAAAAAGGGAATAAGAAGCCAGGAGCGGTGCGGTAAAAAAGCACCTAAAAGTCACGTCGGAAAAAAAGCTATTTTTGAGCATAAGTCCATCTGAAAAAACGTCAATCCAAACAAAAAAAACAAATAAAATCAAAAGCAGTGTCCACCGTGGCTTTTAAAGTTTGCACCGTGCTTTTCCCGGCAATCCAAACAGGTTCTAAGCCCTTTGGCTAGGATCAAGTGTATATGCTGAATATTACTTACTTGATCCATTGTATTAATTTTATTCTTTGTTACCTTCACCTTCAAATTGGGGTCTAATAAAGAGAAAAAAAAGAATAAAATCACGTGATTTGGAGGATGACAGATCAAAGCCAGTATCGCGGATGAAGCATGAAAATGAAAGATGAATATCGTGGGAATAACTCAAAAGTGGAAAAATGAAAAAGAGGAGGGAATGAAGAGGAATATCCATGTTTACCTCACCCTCTTCCCCTCTGCTACATTTTAAGCAAATTATACAGAGTCCCATTGTTTTCTCTCATTTTCTCTGATATATGAATTCCTTGTGTTTCTCTTGCCTTTAAAAAGGCTGGCCAAATGTGTGATTACCATCTTTTTCTTCCTCATAGCGAAAAGACTCACATGCCTACCAGCTGGTGAAGCTGACTTCTGAAACTTGGCTTGCTTGGCAGGAACCATAGTGCCATTGGATAATTTGATGCTCTTTCTAGATGTTGATCTCTGCAAATTATAATTGCTTGAACTTTTCCCACGTTTTCCTGCCAGATTCTCTAGCCTGTCTTGGCTAACTCTTTTTGAAACCAGCTTCTCCTTCGGATTAACCTCCATTATCTCTTCCTCCTTCTTTGTTTCTTTAATCTCTCTCAGAACTATTTTAGTCCTTACTGATATCTCATGTTCGCTTGCCTCAAGAGCTTTGATCCATGCATGTGTTGCTTCAACTTTTTTATCGGCAATTTCTTCAGCCACAGCTGCATGATTAGTTAAATACTCATACTCAAATTTTGAGATAGTAATTGTAGAACTATGCTTAGCTGCTAAAGCTCTTTCTCTCATGGTATTTTTAGTGAGAGTTTTCAGCTTCTCCAAAGCTTCACTTTCTAATGCTTTTATTACTTCCAATTCTTGCATGGCAGCCTGTAGTTTTTCCTCATTCATATCAATCTCAAGCTCAGTTGCTTTGATTTCTTCTTTGGTGGTTCTGTTCTCTTGAGTAATGATCTCCTTTTCCTTTCTTGCTGCTTCTGTTTCTGCCTTTAGTTCTTCGAGAGAAACTGATAAGCTCGTGGCTATGGATTTGGCTTTTTCTTCATCATTAGATACAGATTCCAGTTTTGATTTTGCTCTCAAAAGCTTTGAATTGAGATTCTGAACTTTCGACTCCACTTTTCCCTCCTCCTCCTTCACTTGAGCCAACTCAGTAGTCACATGATTCAGCTCATTTCTTATGACATCTATGGAAGCCATAAATTGAAAACCTTCTTCTTTGATTGAAGCCAATTCTCTCTTTGCTGCTTGCAGTTCTTGTGTTATATTCTGTAACAAAGAAGAGCCTCTTGATCCATCCAATTCTCTAACCGAGTTCAGTTCATTCTGTAAAATTTCAACATCAGACATTGTCACAGCTAGTTTCATTTCAAGCTCTTTTGACTTCTCTATCTCATCAGTAGCCTCCTTCATCTTTTTCTTAGTGGTTTCCATTTTAGATAAGAATTGAGCTTCTTCTTCTTCTCTCTGAGCTTCAATCTCTCTTAATTCTTTCAAAGCCTCTATCCTGGCCAATTCTGCAAGCACATGATCTTCATTAGCATCCTCAATCTCCTTCCTAAGTTCATCTGCAGCTCTTGAACCCGACAGAATCTTTGACCTTGATGCTTTTATCTCCTCCTCAGCTCGCAATTTCTCCTCCATAACAGAAGCTACATCAAACTTAAGCTTCTGCAATTCCTGCTTAATGAGTTCCAACTCTCTCATGACATGCTTATAATCGTAACTCTCATTTTTCCTAACAACCAAAGCCTTCGCCTTCGAGCCTGATTCTTCAATCTTTGAAGAGATACCTTTCACTGTGTTCTTTGGATTAGCTCGCTCAGATTCTGCAGCCCATCTGCTTTCTTTGTTCTGATTAACATCCCTTCTCACTCTTTGGGTTTCTCTTCCTTTTGGAGATGGCTTCTGAGTGAAAAGACAGATATGTTCGACAAAAGAAAGAGATAATTTAGGGTCCAAAAGCTACATTGTGTCAGTGAAGAAACCACAAACAACAGTCTAGTAATCCTTTCAATAAACCTTCCCATAACACAACCAAACTCAAAAGAAAATAAATTTGGATTCTCTGAATTTCTTCCTTGAAAATTTCTCCATAAATTTCAAAGAAAGAACAGAGAAAAAGAAAGTAATAGAAAAGAAAGTAAGTGAATCTTATGCATACTCCTTGGCGTCACTGTTACATTTTCAAAAAGTTTGAGACGGAATTTAAAATTATCCTTTTTATGCAATGTTCTAAGTTTCTTGCACGAAGAAAAAGAACTATAAAAATTAGCAAAAGTCAAACTATGCAGTAGGCCTCTGATTTCCACTCAACTTCTATTGAGCTGCTGTATTTAATATATCCTTATTATTTAAAAATTCTTAATTTAGCCTATATTATTTGGATAAGTTTGCATTAATCATACTACACATATAGAACAATGGCCGTGGCAAAGAGTAAATTAAAATTTAGAAAAATTCTAAGAAGCAACCAAATAAGTTAAACTTGAACAGAAGAATATATGATATAAGTAGTATATACCGCACAAAAGCAAATAGTTGACGAGGGATTTTCAGTGCTCTGAAATCTGAACTTACCGCCGAGAAATCCGGGTAGGTTTTCTTCACAGAAGAGGTATTACTATCTGCAATCTTATCACCATAAAAGCTAATAGCTGTTTTAACCGACCCAACTCTTGTTCTATCAATCTGTGACCCATTCATTTCCATTTATCCTTCTCAACAAAAATCTGCGAAGAAAGATTTTAGTTTGTATATTCGGCATTTCTCTGCTACGTACTGGAGTTCTTAAAAGAGGATGCTAGTTACAGTATTATCGAAGAGAGTCCAAGAGGTAGAAAAGGTGAACCATACATACCTGAGACTCAGACGGATGTTGAATTTGGGTCTTGTGGTTAAGAGTTCGAAGGTTCAATGGCGAACGAAGACGACGACGAAGAAGAAGAGGAGTAGGAGGGAGGGAAAACCAATGAATGGCTGATATTGGAGACATCGCTAGATTCTATCACAGTGTGTAATTTGGATCTTCCGTTAACGGAATCCAAATTTTTGTTGGCAGCTTCTCGAATTTAGGGACCATCTTCTCTTAATTCCTTGTCTTTGTTCTCCAGAACTTGCCAAACAAAGTTTTTACGTTCTGTAAAACTTTATTACACATGCTATTAAATAGTTGGAAAATATTCAAGTTTTTGAGAAAATAATAGTAAAATACCTGTTAAATTTTGAAAAGATAAATAAATCATATTGACTATTTTTGTAATGGTTTTAACTATATATTTGTAATGATTTTTATTACTTAAAATCTGTCAAAATTACTTATTTGTCATTTTGAAATTCAATAGGTATTTTTGTTGTCATTTTTCCTCAAATTTTTATAAATTATTTTGTCATGTGTCTTTTTTTTAAGGGTTAAATAGCATTTTTGTCCTGAAAGTTTTCAAAAAAGAGTTACGGGTATCCGGAAGTTTTTTTTTTTGTGCAATTTTATCCTGAAAGTAAAAACATAGCGATTTCATCACGTCCTAATAAACCCAAACAGTCAACCAACGTTCATTTAGTTAAAAAGCATTTTTGCCTTGAAAGTTTTTGAAAAGAAGCTGTGAGTATCTGGAAGTTTTTTGTTTTTGGTGCAATTTCACCTCAAAAGTAGTAAAAATATAGCAATTCACCTTATCCAAAATTGTCACTCGACTTCTATATAATATATCAATTTATAAGTTAGGTAAATTAGTTTGAAAGAAAATGATAAATATGAAAAGTAAAATGAACTAAAATCTTATATTTAGAATCAAATTTAATGTCCAATTAACTCTTCTATTAAGGATAAAGAGTATTTATCTATATTTTTATTAACTTTTTATCATAGATATAACGTTTTTCAATTTTATTTTTGAATATAAAACCTAGACATAGGCTTATTTTACATATTACATGGAATTTTTGAAATGATCACTCAAGTAAATAATTTATTAAAAAAGTGCTGCTTCTAACTTTTCTTATATTTTATATTAATATATTATCTTATCATAAGATGTCACATCATAAACCTTTTTTCCTTTTTATCATCATCGGTGTTCATAAAAACATGAATAATAAAAAATATAACCAGAAGGCCAGATCAACAATTACCGAATATGTAGGTGAAAAAATAAATATGGGGAAAAAAATAAAGCTTCCCCCTTTCATTGTCATCAGCATCCATGAATATTCAATAAACAAAACACTAACAAATCAAATCAAACCAAAAATATCTTTAACCTTTTGGTTAACAAAGAACACCAAAAATGGTAAGATAACATGTCAGTTTAAAATTTATAGGCAGTATTTTTTATAAGTTATTAATTACTTGAATGATCATTTTAAAAGCTCAATACAACATGTAAAATAAATGTATATCTAGTTTTTTATATAATAATAAAATTGAAAAATGTTATATCTATGATAAAAAAAATAGATAAAAATATAGTTGAATACTCTTTATCCTTAATATAAGAGTTACCTGAGAATTAGATTTGGTTCTAAATATAAGATTTTAATCTATTTTGTTTTTCATATTTATCATTTTCTCTCAAACTAATTTACTTAACATATAAATTGACATATTATATAATAGCCAAGTGACAATTTAGGATAGGATGAAATTGCTACGTTTTTACTACTTTTGGGACAAATTGCACCCAAAAATTTTTTTTCCAAATACCCAGAACTCCTTTTTGAAAACTTTCAAGGCAAAAATACTTTTTAACCCCGTCAGCATTAGTTTACCATTTGGGTTTGTTAAAATAGAGCAAAATTGCTACTTTTTTACTACTTCTGACACAAAATCGCACCAGAAAAGAATTTCAGGTACCCACAGCTTGTTTATAAAATCTTCCGGGACAAAAATGCTGTTTAACCCTTTTTTCAATATCATCATTTAATGCTGATCCCATGTAAAAAAGATAAAACATATGAAATGTTGATCCCATGTAAAAAAGATAAAACATATGTAAAGATGCGATGAGAAAACTTGACATAGTTACTATAAAAAATTTGATCTAAGTATTGTTCTAAATAACTAATGAAATATTGTAAATACATCTTTTTCTTAAATGCAAGCACGAAAATGGCTTGAGCCTATGAACAAAGTGCTAATTGCTAATAAAGTCATAGGTGTTATACAAGTCTAAGCATATGTGTAACTTTGAAAAGCCTCTAAACATGTCTCTAAACAAAACCCTCGAGATTTTTGAAGCCTTAACTTAGTTACAACAACATCACACAACAAACACAAAATTCCAACCTATAGTCACTTAGAAAAAGGGGTAACATGGAAAAAGAAAAATCCACTTTACCCTGATGATTTGAAGCATATAAACCATATGGAAATCATCAAGCCTTCTTTTCTATCTAATTGGATTTTTTTTTTCTGTTAAGTACATGTATCTTCTCATAAAAATACTGTTGATGATTTTTGGCATTGTGTGGCTGTTCATCCAAGCTGATTTGGAGTCTCGAAAATATAGTTCAGGCCCAAAATCATGTTTGGGGTCATGTTTTGTCCAGCTCATTTCTAAACGAAAGCAAATTTTTGTTGCTTTTGCTCGTTCTGCTCCTAGTGCGTCGATATGTCCACTGCCACAATGACTCCTCGCATGCTCTTTCACACACTTTGTCCAATCCCTTTTTATCGTTTACGTTGCTTGACTTACTTCATGCACGTGGCCTCATTAACACCATTACTATATTTTTTTTCCAACTCATCAACAGTAAAATAAAATGCATAAAAAGTAAAATCAGAATTATCTTCTTCAATGGATACTATTTATTGTTTAGACTTTAATAAAAATTTGTTTTTCCTTAGAAATAGAATTGTAAATAGAAATATTATTTTATTTAGTTAAATGTTTTGGCATTTTTAAATTTTTTTAATAATACAGTAACTCTTTATTTTTACAATGAAAAAAATTAATTTTTTTATGTTTTAACTTTTAACTCACTTATAACTCAATCTTTCGATTAGTATGATTCAATCACTCGACTTTTGACTTGCTTATGATTCACTTCTGTATTTTTTTTAATCTTTTTATATTATTATCCTTATTATCTATAACTCCACTTAGAGTCATTCTATTTGTGGAATATTAGTTACAACTCAGCTCATACAAATTATTCCGTCTTAACTCTTTGCAGCCTCACTCCACTTGTGGTCACTTAGGGTTAGGGTCCGTTTGATATGAGGAAAAATAAGGGGAGGGAAGGGGAGGAAAAATTTTAATAAGTTTGATTTTAAAAATACAGGATTAAAAACTTTTAATTAATTTTTATTACTCTTTTATATTGCTTCTTTTTTTATTAAAAATTTTAAAACACCACTTCTCCAATTTTTTAAATAGAGCTCATTAAAATTGTTCTTCCTCTTCCCTCTTTTTATTTTCCTCATACCAAACAATACCTTAAATCAACCTCAACCTCAACCTCATCCACCACTATGGTTTGCTCACTCCCCATATCTCCCAACTCACCTAACTTGCTACCTTGGACCTTTGAATATCACAACTCTTTCTTTGGCAAAATCCCATCCTTGAATTTTTAGCAGCCATTGTTCTTGTTCCTCTATTTGCTTCAGTCACATGCTCACTCATGAGAAAAAGGGTTGGGCTGAGTTACCTCCAAGCCCACAAAGGGAAAGTTGCATTCATGAAGCCCTAATAGGCTTCTTCTCCTCCAATGTTGTGTTGCATTCTTCCACACATGATGTCATCTCAATAACTTCCTACAAGGTTATCGGGTGAGTAAGCTTCAACCCAGCCCTAATCTTGACCTTTAATTTGTTATGGAAAGCTCTGATCAAACAATCTTCTCATGTATCCTTCAACTGCGTCAAAGAGTGTTCAAACTCCTCCACACATACTCTAAGGTCCAACACTCTTGCGTAACCAAAAATAATATACTTCCGGTCTTTAATAAAAGACCTACTTTATAGTATTATTTGCACTATAAAATGGGTCTTATATTTAATATTAGATTTCAAGCATACCTAGAGAGTCTAATAACTTTAGATAGCCACGCAGAGGTTCAGTTGACAAACTCGAATCTTCAGTTTCACAGCAAATGCACTTTTTGAGGGAGAGAAAAACAGAAGGAAGGGTGGAGAACGGATACACCTTCGGTGGTTTTTTTTCTTAATTGTTTTCAAAAGGAGAAAACTACCCCCCATATACATGTTCCCGCTTATTTCCTTTACAGTCTTAAACAAAAAAGTGAAAATCATAATTAAAGACTCGTATGTTCTGTTATTTGCACAAGAACTTTAAAGTTAATGGGCTTGGGTCTAATCCACTAAGGGTGAACCGGCCCATTTCCCTATATCCCCCACGCACACTTGGTGGATTAGATGCCATGGGTCTAGTCTCTTTCTTTCCCCTTACTTTCATACTTCGTGCTTTGCCGTGACCACATAGGCATGATGTCTTCACTTAGGTGCCTATACTAGAAAATTTTTTATAGGACCAGCACAAGTCACCCTCTCCTTCGTGTAGCTTGAATTTTAAAAGTATGCATAAGATGTCCTATATTTACTTATATACACTTTTTCATGATAAATCTAATCCCTCTCGAGTCAATATTTGACTCAGATTACCTTCCTTATATGTCCACACTTACAACAACAAAAAGTCATAAGGGACATGTCATAGACACTAGCATAGGTGTATATATTGCAGTTAATCTTCCTTCCGACCCAAATATCACTTTGATATGAATCAGTCGCTTTCCTAGAATAATCCCTTAGATCACGTCTATCATGACCGTAGGAAACATGCTAAAGTAGTAGTCACTAAAACATATCTTCATGATATTGTCAAAGTCAAAGGACATCAATGGGAGGATTGTTCCTTCCCTAGGACTCACTAGCAACAAAGCAGGGATCTTTCACTTGCTTCCCTTTTACGGTTCTTCCAGCACATGTGGTATGAAATACATGTTACGATGTTACTCTTTTACTACAAGAACAT